TGCTTTCTACGAATTTCCGTGTTCCATCGAACTCTTCAAATATTCTGTAGCCCAATATAAATGCTAATAATGGAGGCTGGAAGATAACACGTGAAGGGGTAGAGAAGTTGGTGAGGAGCTTTTGTTATGTCACGTCACAGACCTTTCTTTTTCTTTTCTGCAGAATGACGGTTAAAAATTGCTTTCGAAAGGTTAAGAATAAGAATATCGTACAGAATATTATACAAATAATAGTTATTAATGAATATAATATTATAGAATATTTATAGAACATAGGGTACATACTCATCAGAAATGCTGAATTGCTTACGAAAATTCGTCTTCGAGAGTAACAGAACCGGTCTCTCTCGTCAGCTCTCGAGCCGGTGAAAGGAGGAATGATAGAGCTCCTGACGACGAGAATCTTTCTCTAAGACAACCATTTGATACCTACTGGGAACTAGTTTCGAGACGCTCACGCCTTCCATGAGAAAGTGCGAAATGCTCGCGTGCTGAGCCTTTTTCGGCTTATCTTGTACTACTATAGAAATACGCTGGCAACTTTTCACCCACTATTATTGATGCCTACAATGGAGGCTTATTTTTTTTGTTGGGATTGGGGGAAGTGGAAATCCCGAACAGGTGAATGCCATAGTTGGAATTCATTCATGCATGTTCACACGATTTACGTAAGTGGAAGCTGATGGCGCATGGATATCCAGGTCACTTCAAGGCGTGGCACCTACTCTAAAAGATGGAGTAGTTGCTAATCCGTGTTTGAGGCTATGACTACCACACATGTGAAGGGAAGATTGCCTGAAATTCAGGAGACGCTTACGGACTTCCATAAAATTTATCGCCCTAATGATTTCCTATTGCGGAGTCGCTTGGTCAATACTGAAATTCGGCCATTGAGATCCTTTCCCTCGGAATTTCCGATTGCGAGATTTCCACGAATTACCCGAGTTTATAGCATGTACCGGAAATTTCGAGCTCTCAACGATTCCTTCCACAAAAGCCACTCAAACATGAATAGGTTCCACTACAAACTTTCTCTGAGCGAACGATGCGGTACGCATGGTACACAGATCCTCCCGTATGAAGCGAAAACTGAATCCGTTTGTTTTTGGGACAACTCCGCTAGGCGGCATGTTGAAAGTTCTGTTGTTTTTCAAACTAGATTTGTAGCTCTTCAAGTACTACAGAACTAGTTGAGGAGTGTGCAAAACATTTGGTTTTGCCAGGCTGTTCAAGCCTACCCATTAGTCGGAGGCTGAGTAGTCCGTTTGATAGGGCCCCCTCACCGTTATCGAGGAAATTAAAAAATCCAAATCTGTGAAAACAGAACCATCATTCAAAAGTCAGAAAAAATAGGCCGGAAATTCGTTTCCCACGAGTAATTCGCGAACTTATGCTCATCCTTTGCTGAGCTGGGAATATCCATCAAAAAGTGTAGGCGGCTACTCTAAAATCAATCATGATACACATCTTTTCGTTGATCACCCTATTTTTCGACAGTTTCCTCCCCCCGCTCGTTTCCCAACTGGAGTTAGGTTCAACGTCAGGAATAAGTTATTCCTAGTAGGCCGATACTTCTTGTTTACGAAAAAAAATTATAAAAACTCCGGCAATCTGCTTTCGGAAAGATATAAATGTTAAGCAAATCAGTACAGAATGCTGTCTAGAATAGAATGGCATAGAAAATTCGAGTACAGAACACAGCAATGGCAGTTCGTACACAAGGGCCAAGGAAGACATTGAGATGGATAACAGTACTGTGAAGTTCCTCAGAAAGCGACTCGTGTGCGCTACGTGCCCCTCCGCGCCTACCGCCTTCGACAAATCCTGTGCATTGACAGGCTGCTGTGTTCCTTCTCAATAAAAACCCTAATCCGCTAATCGCTTCTTTTTTAGATGAAGTGAAGCCTCCCGTAGGTTTCCGAGAAGTGAACGCCTAGAATTTATCGGAAGTTGAAAAAAATTGCTCATGGGATCACAAGAGGTAAGAATTTCGAGGATAACGACCGGCGTCGGAGTTTGTACATAGCTATGTCTCAAACCTACACAAAATTGCAACAGAAAAGTTGGGGAACTCCTGAAGACTTACAGCTGAGTTCTTGGAGTTTTCTACACATACTACCCTCAAGAAAAAAAACTATGGTCAATATTAGTGTAGCTCAGGGTGGTGAAAGAATCGCAAATGGGTGTGTTGGTGTGATTCGTGGTCCTCAGCACGCATGAGAGAGCAAAAGTTGTTGCAGGTTAAAGCGTGAAGTGAACAATTGGCCAAGAAAGGGAAAAAATGTACTTCGGTGGAAGGTACAAGGAATTGGAAATCGTTGGAATGGGCAACCCTAATATATTTAATTAACTCTCAGAACTAATTACATAAAAGAATTGCCAGATGGGAATTCGGTAGTCGAAGGGCGATTTCTGTGCGAACAACTCCCGTGGGCTGGCGCCCGACGGGTGTGGCAAGACTTCGAGAGCTGAAGAACCTTGTGATCGGAGAACTAACAAACAACGGGCAAATACACTGGCACCCATCGAGTTTGCCTTTCCTCTTTGCTGTCTTTCGTAAATAGCGGATGAAATCGGGACGTACGGAACATCATGCCATGCTCTCTCCCACACTTCCTCGGGAAAAAACAGTGACCGTCATTGTTAGAAGACTGATCCCCGAGAACTCGGGTCACGTGGTGAAAAAAGGTCGCCGTAGAATAACTCATGAAACAGTGTTGTTCAAACGAAGGAAACGGGTGGCTAGAGAAGTCTATGGGACTGATGATCTATCAAAGGGCGAGTGACCATGTTTTTTTACTGTTGCGAAAATCGCCAAGATACTAAAATGCAGTCGTTGAACAGGGCAAGCGCATTTTGGGTGTAGGCAGTGGATAGACTAAGTAGGAAATCCATCATGAATGGAAAGTCAGAATTTGGCTCAGAAATTCATTAGAGGTGGAGTCAGTCCATCACATAAGGGAAACAATATTTTCAGTTACAGCGCCGTCGAAGACCTCTGACTTTATTTACCAATGAGATCGAGATCCGGATCCTTGAAGCTACATGTAGTTAGTGCAGATGGCTTACACCCAACAGTAGTAGAGATCAGTAGAAGAATAATAGAAAACTAATAGAAAAAGGGTTCCAAGTAGGAACGGCTTATCTATGCCCATACCACGAAGAATGCTCTCAAAGTGGAAAGTAAGAAAGTGGGAGACCTTACATGGCAGAATCTCCTTCCTAAACAAAATGCAATTTCGTGAGCAGATGCAGCAAGATGGTTTTCTTCTGAAGCAGCGAAGGGAAATGGGTTTTGTGTTTTATGTTGGTCGTTTGAGAGCTGGGAAGGGCCAAGAAGGCCGCTATTAAGTGGAACGGAGTGGATGGGACAATATTGATCTGCTGACTCCTGTGATTGTTGATTCAGATTTCAGAAAGATGTAAACTAGTTAGAAAGGTAACAGTGCTAAGCTTTGGTCGATCTTGGAGCATTAAAAAACTTTATCCTTCAAAGTAGAGAGGTAGCTGTGGTTAGGATGGAAAGATATAGAAGTTACGAGGTAAAATCCAGTATTGGAAGAGGGGCTGGTCGAAGAACTGACTAAGCTATAAGTCAAGTGCATGGCGCATCCAGAGGTGCCGATTGGCGTGCTATACTCGATCCACACCTCGATTCATTTTCACAGATTCTGGGCTGATGCTTAATGAGCGGAAGGAATGGGATTTCTCGCTTTCCCCCTGAACATAACAACAACAACACAGAAAATTGCCGAGAACCCGGAGAGGCGTAGAACTCTCGGCTAATTTCGACACTCGAACCTCATCAACAATACATTCCAGAGGAGAAGAGTATGAATGGTATGGGAAGTTTTTGGCTTTCTCATGGTGTGTGCCAAATTGGTTTATCTATGGGAGCACTCAGTGGAAGACAAATGCCGGTGGCTGGGAAGGATGATTGTGATCTATGACAAAGCCACGAGAAAACGACACAGCTCGAATCCCTTTTTCAGGAAAGTTTTGAGGGAAATTTTGAAAAGTTTTAAGCACGTTTGCATCTTTTCAGGACTCCTTCGATCGAGCTGTGCTTCTCATGGAGGCACAACAAGTTGGGGTATTGGTGGTGGTAACGTCAAGTGGGCACAATGGTGCGATAACACTGCGCCCAGATTCGATCCCTGGTTGATGCACGACCAGTCCATTCGAGCCTTCTATTCCTCCGGGGTCCATTAATCGCTTTCGGACCTACAGATGTGCGAGCATCTGAGTAAGGACTTGTTCGTCGGCGGCTATCGAATCATTGTGTTAGCCTTATATATGTTCAAAACGCCACTATAATTGTGAATGGAAGTTGAACGCAGGGCAAATCCTGAAAACAGGATTTCATTGGCTAAAGAACTATACCTTTCTTCCATGTTTACGATGTTCATTAATGGAAGAAATTAGGGGTAAATATCGTCAGAGGACAATAAGGGGCTGGCTTTGATGGCTCTAGGGCACGGGGATAGAGTTCTGGTCCGAGCGTAAGTAGGGTAGGAGTACCGGGATGACTGGAATATCAACTCTTTGCAAAAAGGACTGCACAGAAGAGGAGCTGGCCGGTAGCTCACTATCTAACTGAAGGAGCACAGAGAAGGGAGAAAGCAAACGGCTCCGCCATAAGGCTACATCTGGAATTTTTTCCGAAGGTTCATTCAAAGTTCAAAATGGAATCAAATAAACGACATGGATATCTTTTTTCACTTGCGAACTATAAAAATATCTCATTAGGCAGTTCTAGAGAAGCGACGAATTTCTAGGAGGAACAGTTGGAAGAACATGCCTTAACAATACTTTATGTTATCAGTTTTCTAGCGATAATTTGCTTGTTTACTCTGACGAAAAAGAGCATTTCAGTCTCTGGAAAGGCCGCAGAGTCCAACACCAACAATCTCAGAGGTATTAGGCGAGCGTACTGTCCAAACAATGGACTAGGCAGATTTGCCTCAGCCACGATTCATGAAAAAAATTTGAGAGCGGCATCATTCACTGTATTCAACAGTCATGAAGGTAATTATCTGTAAATTTAGTTGTGCCCCTTCTAAGTTCCCAATCGTGGACTCAGTATATCAGTCTTCATTATTTATTTGTCTATTTAACTGCTACACACATAAATGTCCTATTACAAAGCCTCTACAATGCAACACTAGTCAATGATATCTCTTAGTCCAATATCCATGTGTAACCTACCGTTCTCAAATTACGTCCGAATATATGAACGATAATGACTGGATTTCGTGTGCATGACGCAATCCATTCGTGCAAACCACACACTGACCACTTGGTGCTTTCAGTTCAAAAACATGAGGGAGGGGGTGTGCAGGAGGAGCTGAGAACCCATATGAGTGTGTTGTAATAAGCCAACAACTATCATCGCACTTTATGTTCCCCTCGTACCTCGCTGATGCATCGAACCCGCCGTAGTTCGTTCTCCGTTCTGCGAACGTTCACGTTCACTCGTAGCCTCATCTGAACTAAAAGAAAAATAGCTGCAAGTATTCTGTTTTGGATGGCTTTTTAATTTGTTTATTTTAATTATTTTATTTTATTTTTATTTTACCTATTATCTCTTTGATTACGGACTCTGTTGACGTTTCACTATCTACTCTCCCTTAATCTGAACGTGATTTTAATTATCGCTAGAACTTTTTAACGAAACTCTGACATTGATAACGAATTTGTCTGCTTAATTATTGATAAAATGGCCTTCTTCGGACCCTATAAAGGCAAAAAACATACATAACCACCCAATTCGTGGAGGATATGTATAAAAAACCTATGCAATTCTCATATAAATAAATGAGTAGTTTGATATGTAAATAAATAGATAATCAGTAGCTCAAGAAGAACTGCGATCTATTGGAATTATAATACTTGGATACGGGAGCTTTCCCTGGATCAAATACCTTCGAAGTGGATATCAGCTGGATTTTAGAGCACTTTATGTAAATGATAAGTCAAGCGCTTGTAATTATATTTGCATTTCTAGTTATAAGGATATATTTAAGACTTTCAAAGTCGCAAATCGATAAGGAATTTTTGTCTTTTTCCCACAACGGCATCCGTCTTTGAAAACCAGGCATATACTGTAGTAATACTATTATTTTACTATTATCCAGCATTTTCCCTCTCTCCGATTTTCAGGCAAATGTTAGCGATACTATTTCTTCTGTTTCCTCCGGTTTCTCCCGTATGCGTCGAAAATGGAGTTGAACATGCGGAATCCGAGAAATGGGTGCGAAATGGAAATTTCCTCGTCACGTGCTCTTCTGGAGAAATCAAGGTAGTGCAAAGGTATCATTTATTCAACTAAAACCACCTGCGAGTGAAAAACTCTTTTTACGTGAACTATTCTTTCAAGAACAATTCAAAAAAGTTTCAATTCGTACTCGTATTTTGAAGAGCATGCAGGAGACATAATGAGCGAAGCTGCGATGGCATTAACCATTTCAAATGTAGCACAGCTTCGCTGTTGTTGGTCGAATTACCGTGTGTTCAATCCTCACCAAATTTGGGCATTTAGAAGACCTAAATTTTTCTCCCAGTAGGAAGCTAAAAAGGACAAGTATGTGTAGAGGCTAGGGATATATACGGTTGTTCTCCCAGTAAAAGAATCAACATTGACACTGAAGACTTTGCATTTTTGCAGCGAGAAGTGAAGTCGCTATTCTCTGTATTGGTATCTATCTGGAGACCTTTATCGGCTTTACTGTCACTAATCAAATATTCCTTAGCTCACTTCTCTTAACCTTAATTTCAAAATTCTTTGATTTTTATTTTGTCAAAATTGTTCCATACAGGATTCAGGTGTCATTCAGGTGTTGAACTGTCTTACGGATGCTGGCACGGTCCTAGATTTGGGAACGATCTCCCACGTGGAAAATGGCGTGGAATACTCATGCACGGATGACGAGCCAGCTGCTATAGAAGGTGCAATCGCACTAGTTCTTACCGTTTTAGATGGCATTGTCCAGAGCACAACAGCATTTATCCCTAGTGGTTATTTATACAGTATATCGTATGCAATATGTGGTGGGTAACTAGTAGAGGATCTTCGAGAATCAAATACGTAGGGTAAGGGATACTACAGGGAAATGCACAAACTTAGTAGATGTGGTCAAAAATTTTATTGTTTTTCTTATCTTCTTATTTCTATTTTACTCTTCCTCTTTCTCCTCTATGGCCGAGAAAATAGGTAAATATTGAATATTTTTGAAGTGATTTCTAATTTGGAAAAGCTCTAGCATTGAGTCAAAAAAGGTTCCTAGCCTTGCATGGCTGTTGTTGTTCCCATGTTCCCTTGGACCAATTTAAGCGATAAACTATATGTATATAAACTATGGCGATATACTCCTATGATTCAGGCTCTGGAGAAGAGGTGTCTGTGAATTCGTGTCCGGAAAACGCCGACAGCACTGATGACATAACTGTGGGGAACTTTTTGATCTGCTGCATTTCGAAACGATTCAAAGGTACTTTACTTTTTTTTTGTTTTTTCATCAGCATTTGAAGTTTCACTACTCTCATCATGTGAAAAGTCAGTGGATACGGCTGGTCAAATGGGGGGCTGATGAGTAGTCAATCGCGATTGTTGCAGCCTGTGTGGACGAGTATGGTGATTCGATAAAAACCGGACACTTCGTTTTGGGGAAAGGCCTACTCAAATATTGCAATATTCAGAAGAATGGATTAAGAGCACGAATGGAGCCGAAAGGTTCGTTTCATCCACACAGCTTTTAGTTTCTCGAAAAAAACTTCCCAGCATTGTATGGATGTGGTACGCTGTCAAGAATCGCTGTTAACGCACTTTAGTATGGGCCGTGGATCGGAATCTAGCCCTTCCTTGCCTGCCCTTCAATTGCTACCGAAGCCTCGTATTCAGGTTGTTTCAATGGCTCGAGAAGTGACGATGTCGAGGATGTTTCTTTTCATGTGAAGAAGTATACGGTATGGAGACAGGGTGAGTATAAAACACATAAATACCAGTAGCTCGTAGCAGTAAGCTTAGTTTCCACTTCGAGGCCCTCCTTCACCAGAACCCCAATTCAATTCCCCAGATTCAAAGGATACCGGAGCAAATCGGGAAATGATTCAGTTCCTTATCAGTCAAATATTCACATCTGCTAATTCCAAGCAAAGAAACGAGTCATAACACGGAGAAGGCTTCAGCAGCTATTCCCAGTTTACTGAAGTTATGTGGAGAATTAAGCGATTTCAGGAGATTACGATATGAGATGTGGCGACGAAGGCATACACGTCTACAGATGCTACGTGGACGGAAAGGGAGTATACGTCGGTCAAGCCTGGATCGATAAGAATGGCGTCGTTAACATCTGCAAATAAATTTTTTTACAAAGTTTTATTGGGCACTGGACATCTCAGAATCTTCAATCAGAATGATATGACTAGTCAGAAGTGGAAAAATTCATCTTTTCAGATCGCGAGCTAAACAGTTTCCTTTTCCTGGGAGAGGGGAGCAACTGCACTGATGTCCCGTTAATCAGCTTGGAATCCCGGAACTACTGCCCAACTGCCCACTGTGCGCCGAGTTTTTTCTGACCACGAGTGCAAGGCTAGCTTCGACCCTATCTCCGCAATACGTAGAACGACCAAGCCATGCTTATCGTCGTTTAGGAACGGAGGAATTAATAAGCTCCACGAAAAGACGGAATTTACGAGGACTTTAATCTCGTCTTATCAGGAACACTTTGCCTCCCAAGGGATTGTACGGAGGCACGGCCTTCTAGGGACTTCACAGAGCAGCTTCCCCTTGTCATTTGGCTCAGTACGATGGGTACAGATGGAAACAGGGCCTCAGAAATCTCGCCATACCAAAAACGTGACGAACGAAGCAGCTCCGACGCAAATACTCGATGATTGCTTTAGTCGGCAGCGGGCAGGGCTGAACTGTAAAGGAATGTGACTTTTCCTAGGGATGACAAGCTTTTTCTGGGCTTTCGTGGTGTTTACTGATAAAGAGCCTCACTACATATGCAATAATTCGTATTTCCTTCGCTGAAGACGACTTACTTTATGTATTCTACTCATTTGCTTACATACTTTTCTTGTTTTTTTTTNTTTTTTTTTCTTTGAATTGTTCTCATAAGGTGTGACTGGTATGCCCTGATGTATGCCTAGTAGATATATGGGGAAAATGATATTAGTGCTTAACAGTGACCACTATGGTTCACTGAGTGGACACATGAAACCTCCTTCCGCCCTGCAAAAAGGGAAAAATCATGCAGCTTCAGAATATTCCGGCTGCGGTGGATGAATCTTTAGAGAGGTAGGCCTGAACTGTGATTTACCAGCACTCGAACTGTTCTGCCAGTCTATCTTTAGCAGGGATAGCCGATACCACTATCAATTCGAGAGGCTACAGATGGGTGGCATTACTATTGGTCCACTGATAGCGACCACCGCTTCCTAGCTAGTTGTCTCACCTACGAAATATCCATCTGTCTTGACAATTGCGCGACATTCTGTTGAAGGCAACCGCCCGTAGCCCTGGAGGTGCTACAGGGTGCTGAATATTCATTCGTTTGGGCCATTGCTCACCATTCGAAGAAAGTTTTGATTATAGGAGCATTGCTACGAAGTAAATCAGGAAGGAATATGAAAAAANAAAAAACCTAAACGTTAGCTATAGATTGGTCTCCTAATACTTTCCTGTCACTGTTGTTCGGAGTCAAATGCAAAATTACTGACAGAGTGGTCAAGTACACCCTTCCCCAAAATTGTGGATCTCTGTGAGGCATATGATCTTGTCCTTATCGCTTCCAATCTCACGTTCCCTCTACCGTAAAATCTTCGGGTCTTTCAGGCAAATGCATTCGGTGCTAGGCTTGCTGGCCCTGGCACATCATGTGCTTGGAGCAGCCATTTACCAGGCACCTTTAAAGAAAATCGAAAGTGTACGGACAAGAATGATCAGAAGTGGGAGTTGGCCGGATTATGTGAAGGAGAGGAAAGCTATGCGAACGGAACTAGTACTAAATAGGAACACCTATCCACATCCGGTCAGTGCTCTTTAGTAATTCGCTCCTCCTCGTTGAATTCCCATGTAGAACTGTTTGCAAAATACTATCTGGAAAATACTAAAAGCTCACAATTGCGATAGAAGCACTTCTTACACTTACTTGAACATTGCCGCATATAAGATAAATCATCCAGAGTGAACCGCCTGCGCTCTACTAGCCTGAATCTGGGTCTTTCATCCGGCTCAGACTATTTTTAAATGGGTATTTCTCTTTCCTAGGTTTAACAAGGCAAAGAAGCTGTGTGCTAACTTCTTGGGGGCCAGACCGCGTGTTGTGAGAAAGCATGAGCGGGACCACACTTCTAAATGTACCTCGAGCATGTATTTCCAGATTGCGGCAAACCGATGATGCTGCTTAGACTTACGTTTCGCAGACACCGCTGTCCTCATGGATTTGTGCTGTTTGAATGTCCGATTGAATGCAGTGTAACTCAAACTGTCCTGTGTTTAGGTAGAGGACTACGCCGACAATGAATATCTTGGGGAGATCTCAATTGGAACACCTGAGCAACATTTTCAGGCTTGTTTAGAATTGAAGTGATTACAGTTAACATTGAAGTGTAGTGTTAATAGTACGGTATAATACATACATACATTACTACATAAAAACTATAAAAGATCGAGGAAAGTTTATCGGACGTTAATCAACCAGTGTGGGGGAGGCCCACGTATTCGACTTTCATTCAGAATCGCAGTGGCGTATTGCATGCGTATTTGGCCGATACAGTGACTAGCCGATGTAATGGTCAGTTTTTCATCCTCCCAGGGGAGATTGGTACCAATTGACCGACCCCGGAGGGGAAGAAGGCTTGGTTGGCCAGGGCGGATATCGATCCAGGATTCGAACCCGAGACAATGCGTAGGTGGTAGTGTTCCAATTGCCAGTACACTACATATATCCGCCCAAGTTGCAGTAGTAGTGAAAGCAAATAGTGGCAAATTAAAAAACCTTTGACCAATTTTTCAGCAAAAAGATGTTTGATATTCTGAATTTGCGAGATAATATTTTCTTTTCGCCAGGTTATTCTCGATACTGGTAGTGCCAACTTATGGGTACCAGATAAGAAATGTGTGAGAGGTCTCAAGGAAGTCTGTGAGCAACCCAAATGTGCCTATGGAAGTAAGTTGTACAATAATAGATTTCGAAGACAAACTATTCCGTGATCGATTGATTTTTTTCAATATGACACATTCTTTTCATGGGATCTAATTAGCTCGGTGAAAAGACTTTCTTGTTTCAGAAATGCTCAACATATAATCCCGTCCATTCCTTCCGGAACGTCCACAGCATAACTCGACAACATAATAAATGAACCAAACGCTTTCGGCTAATTATACGGACACTTTTGAAATGGAACCTTAAAGTTCTTGGCGTTAATCATTTTCGCTCTGAGATACGCCCCGTACTTGATTTTCTTCGGGATCGCAGTGGCTTTGTGCATGTGGCCCACATTTGCTTTGGCCAGCCGATGAAAAACTGAGTGTTTTTATTCTATCAGGCAAATCTGGCACCAATTAAGCGACGCTGGAGGGATGAAGGCTTGGTTGGCCTTGGCTTAGGCGGATATCGAGCCGGGAATTGATCCCGTGACCATGAACGTGTGGTGGTGCGCCACTCGCGGCTTCATCACACCACATCCGCCCCAATAGGGAGGATAATAACTTGATTTAGACAATAGAAATCGTTTTACACTATAGTATTGAGCAAATCTTTCACTTTTGTTATAAACAAACTTCGCATAATTTTTTTGCAAAGAACTCATAACCATACAGTGGATTTTTGTTGTTTATCGCTTTTACAGTTAACTAACAACATGCATTCATTCCTTGCAATTTTAGTGATTTGTACGGTATTCTGTCCGAATAAGTTGTGTTGCGACAAGGAATTGAGAATCAACAGAAAGAGTGGCAACCCGTGTCAAGGAAAGGACTATTTCGATTCAGCCAAATCGTCTTCTTATGCAAAACTTGTGAACAGGACCGAATTTGAAATCAGAGTAAGAGCTATCTTTTGGAATCTGCCTTGTAAAAAGTAAATTAGTTTGGCAAAAAATGTACGAAGTCGTAAAAAAGTGCCACGTGAGCCTTCCGGTTCTCTGAATATTTCTGACAGAAACCAACTGGAGATGTCCCCTTAAGATCCATACATACAGCTCCTACTCCTTAAGTTATTCACTTGTTTATACGATCAGTTTCTACTAGTTAACCTCAATTTTATTCGAAACCCTGATCGGATCTTCAGCAATTTTCGATTCAGTTTGGTGAAAGGTTTGCGAAAGGATTCTTCGGTAACGATACAGTGAGGTTCGGTGCTGCTGGAAGCAATCGTCTCATCGTTCCTGGAACGGTATTCGGTCAAGCTGAGAGCATTGGAAGGATTTTCGCGAGAGTATGTTGATTGAGCTGATATAAGCATAGCTAAGAAATTCTGCTTTTCTTGGTAGTTCGGTCACTAGCTGGAAGACTAGATGATTCAGTAGAGCACGAACTCATTGTAGTCATTGACAATGAGTTACCCCTCGATGAGCAATGTCTGTCAATACCTATTTCTATGTTTCAGAATCCTATCGGAGGGATACTAGGGCTGGGATTCCGTAGCCTAGCTGTTGGAGGCGTGAATCCTCCTTTTCAACAAGCCGTTGATTTGGGATTGGTGGAACCGATTTTTTCTGTCTACTTGAAGCGCTTGGGAGGTAAAATCGCAATGTAATCATGCCAATTAGGAATCAATCGGTATCACTGTTTAGTATTGGCAAGGGGTGAATACGGAGGTGTTTTCACCTATGGAGGACTCGATAAAGAGAACTGTGGCGATGTGATTGCGTACGAAAATCTTTCAAAGGCAATGTTTTGGCAGTTTCGAGTAAGCTTATTATTGCCATTTATCCGGCATTGATTCATTGATTTGCTAATTATTTCAAAGTCAAAAATCAATGAATGTATGACTAAACTACTGCTGATCACGGTGGTGATTCTGATAAGCAATATCTTGAAATTTTTAATTACGATTCATATTTATACGTAATCTTCCACTGAAATTGATTTGTTCATCAGTAGCAATAGTCTTGAGATTCTCTATTTCAGTTGAAAGAATTCAACGCAGGGAAATTGAAACTCACTGATGGTTGGGAAGCGATTTCTGATACCAGTACTTCTTCTATAGGAGTTCCTTCAGCCATCGCCAATCAAATAGCTACCTCGGTTGGAGCTGAGGTAAAAACTCTTTTATTTCATCCATAGTTTTGTTCAATGGAAAAGTTCCAAGCTCCTCAAACTAACACGTAAGAAAGCAATAGTAATTTTTCTATCTTTTCATACAGTTAGTTATTCCTCACCAACACCTTCCCACTGGGAGCCTCCTCAGACAGCAAGGGAATAACATGAGGTGTTCTTGGTTCGCCTGTGTAAAGACGGAGCGAAATTTCCTTGCAGGAGCTATTTTCTATTATTATTATTATTATACTATTTGATCCTTATTTTGCTCTCGAAAATGAAATCTTCTGCTTCCAGTACGACTTTTTCTATGAAGTGTACGTGATCAACTGTAACTCGACGGTCACATTCAACTTGACCATCGGATCGAACGTCTATGTGATTGAGCCGACGAATCTCATTGCTAAAGGTGAAATCTGGTGTTCACTCAGATTAGTGTCATTAGGTTCTTCTGGAGGCTTCGGACCACAATGGGTTCTTGGCACTCCGTTTATTCGCCAATATTGCAACATTTATGATGTTGGCAACAAAAAAATAGGCTTCGCAAGGCCGCTCAAAAAATAGCCAATTTGTGCTTTTTTTCGTGAAAATAATTAAGTATTTTTGATTGCGAATTTTCGTTTCTTGTTGCCTCAGTTCGACTATTGAAACGTGTTTTCATAGATGATGTATGATGTCATTTCTTCCTTATTGTTATCATCATTGCCTTTCGGTGTCTGTTGAAATAAATATTGACAAAGAGCAGATGATCTACCAACACTTTTCAAGTAAACAAGTCATTCTGCAATTACTTCGCAAGGCCATTTACTCTTTACAAATATTGTACTTCGTATAGAGTTCATTTTCTTGTTTTCGAACAATTAAGTTCGTTACTGTATCATCATTCCTTCAATCACAAGTCGAGGAGATGATCGCAATCCAACCGACTTCAGCAACTTGATTAGTTAAAGCGGAAAAGTTGATAAAGGATGAGGTGCTACACCGAAAGTACGGACCATTTCTACTCACATCCATGGCCAACACCACATCAGTTCGTTCGAAGGGTTCACGCTATGGTAAGATGTTGCTTTCTCTCAAGCCTTTTTGGTCATCATAGTAACCAAGGTTATCATCGGAGTAGCCTAAGTTCGAGTTACCGCTGAGTTCGGAGTGTTATAACTAGCGTATCCGGCGTACTTTCACTGAACCTTCAAACGTTCATCGGTTAGCGCTTCGGCAAAATCGCCATCTTTAAAGCTTGTAAAATTGAAAGTATACTAGCAATGATTCATCTGAATTTCTTTCCAATAATAGAAGAGTTCAACGGTTCAGAATGAACATCGTGATCAACCGCATGGGTAGGTACCCAGGTGGATCCCTTTGGCTTCAACAAACAAGACATTTGGAGATCCCACTCCGGCTACATGTCCGCTTTCCATCCACATTTTCGCCAATTACTTTCACCTCAAGCCACGATTCAGCTCACAATGAGTCAGGTCCTGCTAATTAAGTACTGTAGAGAGCTTGCTGCCTTCCTAGACAGTCTTGTGCGGCCTTGTCGAGGTGGAGAGTAATACTGAAATCGCCCTATTTGAAGACCAAAATTGGGTTCAAATTGGATGATGGGTGATCTAAAGTAATGTATTGGAAATACTCTTCGAAATCTACTGTTTTTAACTCAGTTCCGCTTCGAACAACAACAAGTCCAACCTTGAAGCTCGCTGCCGAGGAAGTCTTTATGCTTGCTGCTACATGTGCTTTTGTCGTCCTCAATTTACATGGCCAATCCAATTCAGTAAGTATTTTACATTAGGGAACATTCAAGGGCTCGCCTTTGCTCTTTCTCACTGACCATCTCTATCTTCTGTTCAGTACATCTTCAACATGGTGGAACTCATACCTGGTCTCGCGCTCACATTCAAGTGCTGTGTCCAAAACAATGATCGAAGCCTACTTGCCATGGTGAGAAGCGTTTTTCCACCCAACATATGTGGTTTACTAGCTAATTGCCCCGCTGAGCCCCATGCCATCTGAAAATAGAAATAGTAGAAGCCTAGGTTCTTTTTTCGGGGTTCGAAACCTAATCGTTCTGTCGCACTACTCAACTCTTTTAGGTTATCATCGCTGCTCACTGGGGTTTCTGCCTTTTAGCGCTTATGAACGAATCATTCCTCAACATAGATGAAAAGTAAATTGTTAATAACTTTTTCTTGGGTGTTATGAAAAGGTAAAACGATGCTGCAGTTACATGACCTTACGTCTTCTTCTGCTTGGAGCTCTTGGAGTGAAGGCATATGAGAATGTGCAGTTGATCGACAATGTTCAAGAAGAAAATCCTAACAGTGGCCCGTGCAAATCAACTTTTGAGACCAAGGTTGGTTTGTCTTCGGAAGAATTGGCGAAATCTAATCGGATTTTAGACAGAAATGCGGAGTCCACCGAAAGACGGCGGAGTTGATGCTGTCCCATAAAGGGTCACTCCTCCACCTGGTTAGGGCCATTTCGTCAGACTGTGAGGGAAAACAGATTCGGCTCTACCCCTGCCTAAACACACTGTAGAAACAGTGGTGAGATCGGAAGTTCAGTCCCCCCCCCCCTAAAAAAACCTCACTCTGCTAAAAATGCATTCCACCACTCGAACAACCTTGTGCTGGATTGAGTAGGCTCAAAGCTAGTGACTGATACAGATTGTCGAAATCCCTGCAATCCCTTAAACTCCTCCAACTTGGATCCCTTCATGAAATAAAGATGATTTGATACAAGTTTCGCGTTTCAGAGAGCAAGATTGGTTTCTGAGACCTCCGAAGCTGTGCGTAGCTCGGAATCACCTAACAAAAAGGACACCACAGCCTCCACTAATGTAGAGAAGCTTTTTGCTTATTAACTTTTCTTGATTCTCCTCACCTTCCCGAAATCGCTTGACCAACTGCTTCAGAATGTGTCTGCTCCAACTCCACGACAATCTGCTGCAGACAATCCAGTACAAGAACCGACTGCTCAAAATCGGCCCTCTACACCTCCTACATCACATTCGCTAAGACATCATCCAGTAGACCCCCGCCTACAAGAGATACTCCAGAAGATCAGGACCGAACTGGATGCAGCGCTACGAGTCACGGCATCTGCTGGAACAGGAGGGCCTGCTAAATCAAGGAATAACCAGCAGATCCCACCAGGTAAAACTAAGAATCTCACATATGCTCATGCAGCTGAATGGATCTTCTTGAGTTTCAGAAGCTACGCAGCCTTTGTCTCTTTTCTCTCGACTGAATACCCTTCGCGATCACATAAGGAACAAGTGGTTCTCTCAAGGAACACAAGTCCCTTCCTATCATTCCCGAAACAACAGCTTACGTGATCAAGCAGGAACGTGCGCCGCCTCAACGACAGCACATCGTACCTCCTCAGCGAGAAGGCAGCATGGAACTGAAGCTAACATTGAACCAGAACAGGTAAAGCAAATTGTTCCTGCGAAGGAACTAATTTTTCATGAATATATATCTCACTGAAAGTTTGTTGAGTAATGAAGTACTGCTGCAGCAATTTGGACCGCAACATCCGATCAACCGATTAACTTGATAGATTGATGGATTCTTACCTTCATCGTGAACAACACCTTGCTGAACGAGCTTGACTATTCTTTTAAGTATCGAACCCCCTGTCAATTGACGTCGTCAGGTCAAATACCCATCTGAGGTGAGCTAGGGATTTAGCAACACGGATGCTTAGTCTTAAGCTTTACATAGCTGTTTTGAATGTGTATGGGGACTACAAAAAGACTCGTGGACATCTGGTACCAACATTTGAAGGAGGGAGAAGTATGGAAGGAACGGTTTGGGGCTTGAGCTGGTTTCGATCTATTCACGATTTGATCGCAGGGCTGCCCGTGTAGTTAGGCACTACTATCGACCCCCTCCCCCTCACCCTCCCTATTCTTTGTCATTGTTACACCTAAGAGGTTGTAGTCCTGGCAATTTACTGTACTACTCGTCCCAGTTCCCAGTTGTATGTGTTTTGTTAGTATCCATGAAGTCTCGACCTAACTTTACCTTCCATCACTCTTAGTTTCTAGTCGCCGATTTACTTTATCGGAATCAAGCGCTGTTCAACCAGTTTTCTAATTCAACGCAAGACACCTTAAACTCTTCTCAATCATGATATCAAAGTGATAAATACAATTTCATTATGTTGTTCCATTTACCTATACACTCCTTCTTCGTGCAGCCGCTCAATCATGGTGAGTAGATACTGCCGAAGCTGCTTCTCCCCACAGATTGGCTCATAGAGCAGTCGCGGATGCAAAATTCTTTTAGTAGTTTGTTCTCATTTATATTTTTGTGTTACGAGCTTTTTAGGCTGAGTGCGCAGAGGAGCACCCGTCAACGGTATGCACTTCGGATTATCAGACGGCAACTTGTGCAATGAGACGGCCAGCTCAGCAGGTTTGTATTGAATGATAACGACAAGACGTCAGAGCGGATTACCAAGCAGGGCCATGTCAGAGGCTCTTGCTTTTTGTTTTCCTTGAAGATATCTTGGAAACTGGACTGGGACAGTGATTATAAACAATTCCTTTTCCTCTGAGTATAGCTGTGCTTTACTATACTACCACTCTCAGATAGGTAACGAACGTTAGAGAAATGGCTAAATTTTCCCGGAAAGGGCAAATAGTCACCACCACCAGAGGGAAAATCCAGTACCACAGGTTCGCACTAGGCTCAGCTCGAATTCATTACCCATCAGCTCGCTGTACTTGGAGGATAGTGATTCAGTACTGCCGAACCCGGCAACAATGCCGCACACTCTGTGATGGTTATTGGTGGTGAGGGAGGCCCTGATATCACAAGGGAACGTCAAGCCTCCCGACCTGCTCAAAGACATAGTCTTCCTTTTGAGGAATAATCTTTGGTATCACCTCGTGTGAAACCTCAGGGTTGCAGCTTCCATTTAAAGATAAATTATCAAAAGGATATTCCAGAAGATCATCGACAAACCGAAAGTCACCGTCCATTATGGAGATCTGATAACAAATCCAATGAATACGGTGAGAGATGGCTCTACAAGAAATTTCATAGCTTTTTGTCACGATTCACTATCCGTCAGCAGAAGTTAGTGCATACCATCAGAAACTATAACATCAAAATGAGGGTACGGTGTGAACTCTTCAATGAGGAAGCCTTTACCAAGGGTTAGAAGGTGGTCTCAGGAAGCTCTACATGGTGGAGCTGAAGAAACACAGATCCCAAATGTGATTAGAAAATAATGAATGCTCTTGAAATTTCAGGTACGATTCTCTCCTAAAGAAAATTTCAAGCGCATCGTCGTCACCAACCTTGCGACTGAGACTGTCATGTGGTCCTTAAAGGTACTTCTGGTAATGCAACATAACCAGGGCCCGATGCATTATTCAACCATGAGATGGCCTGCCCACCTCATGACTCTATGTCTTTATTAATTTACTTCAAGTAGAGTAAAGACAGTTATCGCCTGACTGCATAGCGAACAGGGTGTAATGCACCAGGCCTTCAGTACATGCCAGATTACTCTGGTTTTTCATTTCATAGATAAGTCAAGTTTTAGGCTGATCTCAAGGGTAGCTTCGATGCGTCTCCAGCGTATGGTCTATTACGTAGTGGTGAGAAACAAGTAATCATCATATGCTTGACACCTCGTAAGGTTCTCAAGAATTCGATGAAGACTGGAAAAGTTTGTTTACATTTCCAATTTCACTACCTTTGTAATAAGCACATGGTTTCGCCGGAGTTCTGTTCACTGAATGGGTTTTTTTTCAGATTGGCATTGACTACGCCTTCGTTCAGCCGTTCACGCGGAAATTTGACAGAAACGTCTACAAATCGTTGGAAAAGCGACGGCATCTTCTTCAAGCAATCATCGATTGACAGTAAACTCCCCAAGGGCATCATTTCCTTGAAAACATTAATGTTTTACAGAAATTTGTATGTATTCAGACTATGATAACCAATTGTCGATCTTATTGTAGTCAATAAATCGAACACGAATACTCGTAATAAAGAGTTTAGAAGCCAAACTATCCTTGTTGTCATCTAAGGCAGCAACCACGCTTATTTGTGCATTTGTTTATTCAACGAATTTCATCCAAGTGAATTCACGAGTTAGGCTGTTCGGGGTGGGATCCAAGGTAAATTGTAGGTTGTGTGGAAAGTTTATGTCGAAAATTTTGCCAGCTCAATGCGGATTTTCCCCAAGATTTTCTGAAAGCATCTATAGAAATACTATAAAAGTACGCTACACATTTGTATGAGCATATTAGAGATTTCAGTACCGCAATCGCCTGATTAGATCGAACCTATTCTTAGACTTTCATTCACGGCTTTCGAGTGTCTGAATGAGATGTGGGCAGAACGGCCCAAAGGGCTTCAGAGAAGGTTTTGACAATTCTCCGTGGGTTTCAGTAGCGGAGGAACAAAATTCAACCTAGTAAAGAACCAAGATATGGGTAGATTAATCCATCTACACCTAGGATCCCCATGAAAGCTTCCACAAAACCGGGAGGAATCTGGATTATTGTTATGCAGGAACTGTAAGGTAGTAACAACCCCTTCATCCAAGGGCAAACAACCTAAATACGCCTTGCCCTCAACGTTGTTCGAAGGAGAGTGCTTACCATGCTTTATGATGGTCCCGCTTGACCCCCGTGGGCGTCAATCATGGGCGTCCCTAAACAAGAACGTCGTCTCAAACTGTTACAGCGACGAGGGTAGTGGTGATTGAATCAGACGACGGTAGTGAACTTCTATGTGGAGCCATTCTATTCTTTCTAACAAATACATTGTAGGTGAACAACTTGTTGATGGCTATGTAGTAGCACTTTAAAATCGAACGATTCCGACAATCTATTGTTGTAATGCTTCTCTTTGGCGGCATCAGTTTACGGCGACACCTAAGAGGAAGAAATAATGCACTGAACTGCATGTGCCTTGGTAAGTAAATCTTCCTGAATTTTGATTCAGGAGTAGTGTCACCCGTTTACCAGAGTCATGTCTTTCACTCTTTTCAAATGATAGGTATGGCATTTAGAGGGGCTGAAAGCGCTGACTTCACAACTGCGAATCCCATATGTTATGTGTAGACCATATATACAGCACCATGCAGTGAAGCATGCGTTTTCACTTTTTCAAAAAGTCACTTCCTCAAGACAAACTTCTCGTTTTTTCTTGAGAATGCCTGCATGGTAACGGAACATGTTTCCGAATGGCAAAGCGAATATTTTGTAAGGTTTTACTTTTTTTTTGGTCAAGCACCATCATACCCCCTTAACTTAAATCTGTTCGAATTGTTAGTTTCCCCTCGCAACAAACGACAACAAGTACTCGAGGAGCCTGTCGATCTTCTCTTGGAGGACTTCTTTCATGTCATCTTCTGTTGTG